ACTCAGGATATGTAACATCTACTCAAATCTTAGATATGATATCTGGAGTGAGTAACACCAGGTAATATGTTTATTATAAAACTGTAAAGATTTATTATTATTACTTTTGTTGTTATTAAATTTCTTAGCTTTGTCAGCTTTCAAGCGTTATTTATTAACTAACTAAATTTTTATGTTAGGCCACGTGCTGGCTTCGATAAAGAAAATCTTGAATGGCTGGAAAAGATATTTAAGCAAACTGTTGGAAACAAAGGAGAAATATGCCGTGAAGAATTCAAAACAATCGTCACTTCGAAGAACGTAGGCAGGAGGCATAAGTATTCTTCATCTCTCAAACACGAAATTCTAATTTCTCATTTTTCTGATATAAAAATCGTTATTTTATTTCTTTTCGATGCTATTTTTATTTCCTCCTACGTTTCGATTATACAGACAAAATTTGTGTATTAAATTGTGTACTGCATTACATTTTTTAAAGACAGATACATCAATTTTATTCATTGAGAAAATAAATTAAAGATCAACAAATAAGCTAACATTAATTTGATGACGTTTGGGGGATGTGATATTTATTTTATTATTTTTAGCCCTTCTTTACCGAGAGAGTCTTTCAAATATTCGACAAAGATAACTCTGGTACGATATCGCTTCAAGAATTTCTAGACGCCATGCATCAATTTGCTGGAAAATCTACGAACGATAAAATTAGGTTTCTCTTCAAAGTTTATGATATCGATGGTAATATTTGCGCTTAATCATTCACATAAAGTATTTATGAAAAAAGCTTATATTTTCTTCAAATTTAAAAAATAAAATAATAAGTCATGATAAATTACATCACAAGAGAAAGATTTAAGTACAAATTGCCAAAAGTACATATATTTTAAAAAATGCTAAAGATCTGAATCAAGAATGTGTATCTGTGAAAAATTAATAGATGTTTTTCAAATGTTTTGAAATTTTTATCTGGATACAAATTATCTTCGTTATTTCACAATGATTTTTGTTAAATAAAAGGTGATGGATTAATACAACTTCGCGAACTAGAACATGTTATGAGAGCTTGTATGGAAGAAAATGGAATGAAGTTCAGCGACGAGCAAATCGAAGATCTGACAATTGCACTTTTTGAGGAAGCTGATCAAGACAATAGAGGAGCGATCACCTTTGAAGGTCTAAAAAAACAGTTAGAGAAGCATGAGGGTCTGCTGGAAAATCTCTCGATTAGGTTAGACAAAAAATTATATAAAATAGTACAAAATTTTTAAAATTTATGAATCTCATATAATTTAAAAAGCAAATTTTTTCCTAATTAATATTTACTTTATAGATATTTAATGCTCTTTTAATTATTATATGTTAATTTTGAATTATTAAATTCTTTATTGAATTATTATATTCTAATTTTCTTAAAGTAAGTACTAAACTTAAGGTATAAAAATATGATAATCGCAGCATAGATCGATGGTTGGTACCACCGCAACCAAAATTAAAGAAAAAATCTATTTTGGATACGTTTTTGTCTCTTCGTCCATATCAACTCACAAAGCCATACATAAAGAATAATTACGTCTTTATTGCCTTTATTTCGATGTTCATGCTTATCAATGTGATTCTCTTCGTCTCTCGTCTCTACAAGTATCGAAATCACAGTGTCTACATAATGTTTGCACGTGCCTGTGGTAAGGAAAGTATGATAATACAATACTCAATCTTTTCTAAACTATCATGTAAATATCTGTCACGTAAACATGTAATAATTTTATTTCAAAATAAAGGTTTTTAATAAATTTGGAATCAAGTTGTGTTAATCACTAAGACTCAGGTTAAATTCCTGTTAAATTAATGTTTAAAAACAAAAATATAAGAACAAAATTTATATTTCGAAAATATATTTTAGGGCAATGTCTGAACTTTGATTGCACGTTTATCCTGATTTTAATGCTGCGCCAGTGCATCACATTTTTAAGAACGCATAGCTTCAATTCATTAGTGCCCCTAGATCATCATATATACCTTCATAAAATGACAGGGATCTTGATTGGAATCTTCAGCATTTTACATACTCTGATGCATCTCATTTACTGCGGTATATTTAATACTTTATTTAATTATTATTTCATACTTAATGTCACCATAATTTGAAATAGTAAAAATCTTTTCTTGAAACTAATAAAGATTACGTTAAATTCTTATTATATTAATTTAATTTATATAATACTCTAATTTTATATTTAATTAAATTAATATTATAATAATTGATATCTAATAAATATATTTGTAGGTACAGTAATAGTAAAAGACGAGAAGATGAATAGCGGAAACTACACTATGTTTGAATGGTTGTTAACAAGTCGACCTGGATATTTCGGTCTGGTTACAGGCAGTGCATATCCAACTGGGGTAGTTCTGTTTATTATACTCGTCATTATGATCGTTTGTTCTATGTCGTTCGTACGGCGTGGAGGTTGCTTTGAGGTACGAATTTTTTACATTATTACCTCTATTTACTTTTAAATTCAAAATTATAATTTTTATGATCCAAGACGTCTGTAAGCTTCATCGTCTTATTTTTTAATTAAAATAATTCTTTGTTACAAGATATTTTATTGGTCTCATCTGCTATACATACCATTCTGGATTCTGATGATCTTCCATGGCCCTAACTTTTGGAAATGGTTCGTCGGCCCGGGTGTCATATACTTAGTGGAAAAGATTCGTCGACTCGGATGGTTGCGTTCTCAGCGTGGCAAAACATACATAAGTTCCGGTCTCCTTTTACCTTCGAAGGTGACTCATCTGGTTATTAAGAGGCCACCCAATTTTCACTTTCATCCTGGCGATTATGTATTCGTTAAAATCCCGGTGATAGCAAAATATGAATGGCATCCTTTTACTATTAGCAGTGCTCCCGAACAAGAAGGTAAGCTAGAAATTCTTTGCATTTTGATCGATGTTATCTTTTATTATTGTGATTACATTTATATACGTATGTATATCTTTCAAAATTGATATATTATTTTTATACAGATTATATGTGGCTACATATTCGTGCGGTTGGCGAATGGACCAACAGTTTATACTCGTACTTTGAAAAAGAACAAATAAAACTTCATTGTGCTGACATAGTGCCTGCTGATAACTGTGACGCTGCTTGTGTTTCCTTCCAAAAATCGTAAGTCCAATGTGATTAAAGATTTATACAAAGTCCAGAAAGTAATTTTGTAATTTTGTGCATTAAATTTAAAGTAATAATTTCTAACAATGGAATTCTAACATTCGTCGTTATGCTATATTATATATTAGCTTTTTTAATTTCTTTTATTGTGTAGTTTTATCACTGGCAAAAAAACACCACTTATTATGACACAGAAAGCCTCAATGGAATCTCAGGCTCACAACCTACTGGACAATCCTTCGTTTGTATCTGACTTATCGAATACCGTGTCACCTTCGCATGCATCCATTAAGACTAAGTCTACATATTTAAAAACTACAGAACGTGAGACTTATTTAAAAAATAATATACACACACACATACACGCGTGCACGCGTAAAAATCAAAAGGATATAATAAATCCAAATTCGTATAAGGTCTGTTTTCTGTGGCTGAACTAATGTACACTATTGGAACTTAAAGTGAGACAGGTATATGTTTAATATTTGTCGAAAGCGCGAAAAAGAGTTCTACTGCAGTTTAGTGCAGTAACAGAGAACAGACTATTAAAATCACGTTTTTGTCTATAACACTTATTTGCATAGTAATTATATTTCCTAAGTTAATATTAAATATTGTATATGAATTCATTTAACAGATACGCCAGAGTCAAATAAGGAATGGAGAAATGTGTCTCTAAGAAGAGATAAAAGACTACATCAATTTTTTCTCGATACTAAAATACCACTTGAAAAATCACACTCGATGCCCGATATGCAAATCAAAAGTAAGAAGAAAGAGCGACTCAGAGCGTAAGTACATTAATATTGGACATACTTGCACTCTCTCAAAAAGTTTATCTTGTCACTAACTTTTTTTCTTTACGTATTTTATCTCACGATTAAGTCTTCAAATTTTATTGTTATAATTATAACAATTATAAAACATTTGCAATAAAATATTTTATATAATGATATTCTTATATATTTTGGTATCGTAGACTTCGAGATTATATGAGATCTGAATCGGAGAGGAATTTCGACGAGTGTCAGATGAAATGCGCGCGATTCAAGTCATTGGGCTTAGCTTACTTAAGTCCGCAGAATAAATCATTGGCTCAAAGTTTCCGATACATGCGGACGAAACCGACTATTATCGCATTCAAAACACCTAGCTTTGAAACGGGCGATTATGAGATTGACGTGTTGTCAAGTGTTGGTAAGTTATTGGGAAAAGTAATATTTATTTGGAAATAGAGTAGAGAAAAAAATCTTTTTACAAAATAATATTGTATAATATAATAATAATTATTATTATTATAACTATGAAAAATCGTTTAAGCTAAATGATTGTATTTATGAGATTAAAAATATTTATATTAAAAGATACAAGTTCTTTCCATATTATATTTGTTTATCATGCGTATATCTGCAGCATCAAATACAAATGCAGAAAGAAATGAAAGAACACCCATTACACCGGTTACAATGCAAATTGCGGCGGAAGAAGGAAAATTGAGACAAAGGTTTAATGAAGTAGATAGTTCAGATAGTTTGGATTTGAAATCTGATAGTTCTTTTCAACCATCAATAAATTATCCTGTAGGAAAATCACTGGAGGTAAAATCTTATTTATAAACAATTTTTTTATTATGAGCTACGATTTTGTTCTCAAGATTTCTTCAATTAATTATTATTAATTTATTTCGAGTAAATAACGTGTCGTCATTCTAGATCTTTTTAGACGGTCCTTATGGAGCACCGTCAAGTCACATTTTTCGAGCGCAGCACGCTGTTTTGATCGGCACAGGAATCGGAGTTACACCTTTTGCTTCTATATTGCAATCGATTATGCATCGATATTGGAAAGCGAGACATACCTGTCCAAAATGTTCGTTCTCCTGGGCTAGTGAAATTCCGCCTACTGTAATGAATTTACGAAAGGTTAATAGATTTTTCTTCTCTCTCTCTCTCTCTCTCTCTCTCTCTCTCTCTCTCTCTGATTTTATTAATCTTGGAATAAAATTTGAAATAAATTATTGATTTAAATTTAAAGAAGAATATTTTATAGGTAGACTTCTTTTGGATTAACCGCAATCAACGTTCGTTTGAGTGGTTTGTAAACTTACTATCTCAACTTGAAATAGAGCAAGCTGAGTTAGGTATCACCATGGAACGCTTTCTGGAAATGCATATGTACATCACAAGCGCATTGCAAAAGAGCGACATGAAAGCAGTTGGCTTGCAATTGGCACTGGATCTTCTGCACGAAAAAGTCAGAAATATCTTTAAATTATATATAATTTAAGTATTTTTAGTCTTAGTTGTAAATATTTTTAATTGTGGGATTAGTTTTTAAATTTATATTAGAGAATTTACACAAATGACAAAAAATGTGGCTTATTAATTTTTTTTGTTACTTCTCGTTGATTAGGAAAAGCGAGATCTCATTACAGGATTAAAAACCAGAACAAATGCGGGTCGTCCCAATTGGGACAAGGTATTCAAACAGCTTCAGGATAAGAAGAAAGGAAAAATTACAGTGTTTTTTTGCGGACCGCCACAACTCGCTAGGATTCTTCGATACAAATGCGATCAATTTGGATTCTGTTTTAAAAAGGAATCCTTCTAATACTTCAAAAGAAAATTTAATAATTATTGTATTAAAAAATATTAATATAGTTTGCAATTTATCATACATACATTTTTATATTATTTCATCAAATTATAGATACATTTCTATATTATTTCAAATTATACATACATTTCTATATTATTTTATCAAATTATAGGTATGTGTGTGTGTATGCGTAATAATTGTTTTTTAATAAATTATTTTCTATGATTTTAATATGTACTCACGAATACAATCTTTCTGTCTTTTTTCGGTTATAAAACTTTTAATGTTTAATACACATTATTTTAAGCAATCAAAAATGATGTTTCCTCTATATTTTATTTCATTTTTCCAATTTTTAACATATCTTAATCAATGTCTTTCATTATTCTAGCCATCTCGTGCAAAATCCAAGCTGTTGCTAAGATTAATAAAAAATACATTTGATGTTCTGTCATAATTTAATAAAATTAATTTTCTATGTTATTTTCTTTTTTATTATTGAAGAAGAATTGCTAAAATATTCTGTGTGTTTACATTATTCTTTACTATTTTTTTCCAAATAATATAGTTTTACACATTAAATTTTTGACTGAAGTTTTGCAACAAATGAATTTATAAATTATCTGAAATTAGCTTTTAGTATCAATAATCACTATGGTATATCAATAAAGCTTTTCAGTGCACATAATTTATATAAACTATGAACTCAAAAAGTCTTAATTAACATAAAAGAAGAAGAAATAAACAAAAGGTTATTTTAGAAACGTTGTTAGAGGAAAAAAACTTTTGTAAACATCAAAATATCTTTATTTATATATTATTTGATATTTTATTTGTATATTTTTATTATAAATACAGCACCAATAAATAAAAGCAACTACAATCAAAAAAAGATGTAACGTACGTACATTCTTTTTTGTGTGGAATAACATTGACTAGAGTTCTTCATTTCTTCTTTATACACTTCAATATTTTAATTGCCGAGCTAAGCTGTTCACGATATTTGGCAAATATTAACTGATATTCGCACAATAATATATGAATAAATGCATTTGTGCAAATTTTTTATAAGGTCACGCGGCAAATATTTAAGAATCGCTACTCAATAGCATAGAAGCATGATCGCTGTATGTTATGTTGAATTCACATGGATGTTGGTACCAAGGCTCACCGTCCACTTGCATAGCGCATGGCCGCGATAATTTTATCTAAGAAATAACAATACTTATCTTGTAGATGCAAAAAATCTTTTGAATTATAAAAATAAATACCTTTATGTTACTTGCTTGACCAATTCGATGTGGTTTCGAAAGGCCTACTTGGAGCTGAGCCATGTGGAATGAAGAATAAAGCGCAACTACTTCCAACTTGCCATCGTTAATACTTTGCACTTCCGAATCTTCGTTTTCTATTAAGCAATACGTTTCAATTAGTAATT